GCGGCTCTGCCGGGTCTTTCGTCCCACCCTTAACTCCCTGGGCCCAGGCCTTCAACAACCTGGAGAATCTGGTCTTTGGCAAAGGATTCCAAGCCAAGATCTTCCCCGAGAGTAAGTGCGAACCGGGGGTGGGGGTGGGGGCTGTGAGTGAGCCCTCTGCTCTAACCTCCCCCAGCAGGGGACTGACCTCCCTCCCAGGCGCTCAGTTGGTCCGAGCTGCGTAAGGGAGCTGTGCTTGCTGAGGCTGTCGGAGGCGCTGACGCTCCCGGAACACGTCCTCTAGCTCGTGGAGGAGCTGGAAGGGAAGGCCGGAAAGCGCGAAACTTCGTTACCTTTGGGCCACTTCCCCGGGGAGGTCTGAGGACAGGGCGCGCGCCTTGCCTACGTCCTTGGGGACGGGCTTTGTTCCCCCCAGAGGAAGGAACAGGACTGACTCTATGAGGGGTTCTGATGTGAAGTTGAGCCGGTGTTGGTGGATTCTGTGTATTTAACCCGATCGTCAATAGCTTAAGTGTTAGAGCCTCCAGGTTTCACCTCAGCAGCGACCCTGACCGAGTTAGAATAAACGTGAGATCGTTTCCTGTTTGAAATGTACGTGTTATTGCTTGAGCAATGGAGAATTGATGATTTCGCTATTTATGCAGAATTAAGTTCACAAAGCAAATCAGACGTCGAGGCCGGGTCACCTAAGGAGTGTCACAAGCTTGAAAGTGACAGCACAGGCCGCCTCTTGTGGAGCCTTCCTCCCGTAGAACAGAGACCTGGTTTCTGCACCCTTCTCAGGGCCTTGCTCTCTCCACTCAGCCCTGTTGCAGTCTCCCCCAGCTCCTTCCCTCCTGCAGCCTCAAGCCTTCGGAGGTTTTGTTTCCATGTGTTCTGTCTTCCTGTGCTTCGGAAAGAGACCTTTGTCGTGGGGCAGGGCTCTTGGCCTTCTTGTCCTACGCTGCCCTCCCCAGCTGGGCGGTCGGTGTTTGCCCTTCCTTTCTACCCTCTCACTTTCTCTCCAGTCCTACTCCGGATGCCCCGGAGACCCTTTCCTGCTTCCGTGGGCGTGGGTGTCCAGACCCTCTGCCCTCCAACCTGTGTCCGGGGACCGAGGCCCTCAGCTTCCACCGCTGGACAGCCAGTTGAGTGAATCAACCCTTAGTGGCTGGCTTTTGTGGCAAAGGCCTCAGCCTCTTTCCCAAACAGCAGCAAACCTTGCCCTTCAGATGCTCCTGTCACTTTTCCTTTTCCTTTATATTGGAAGAAAGCCAGGGTAGGGAAGTTAAGTGACATTTGTGACAGAGCTGGTAAGGAGCATGCGTCTCCTACCTCCATGTCCCAGGCATCATTAAGGGCGTCCGAAGTCCTCCTGCCAGTGTCATGCCAACTCCCTCCAGGCAGGCCCCCCAAGATTCAGAGCGCCCCTGGTGTCTCCTAGAATGCACTTAGGAACGCTTGGTGTTTCCCACTCCGACCAGCACCCTCCTTTGCCCTCTTGCCTCCCCAGTTCTTCTCTGCCTCCTGTTGGCTCTCTTTGCATCCGGCCTCATTCACCGTGTCTGTGTCACCACCTGGTAAGTGCCTCGCAGCTGGGTAAGGGGCGCAGCGTGCTTCCCCCTCCCTCCTTTCCCCTTCCCCACTTCCCCAAACCTGATCCAGGATTCTTTCCCTGCTGCCGCCGCCCGCCTGCCCGAGGAGGCACCAGGCTGGCCGGATGCCCGCCGGCGCCGTGACTTTCCTGTCTTCCCCCGCAGCTTCATTTTCTCCATGGTTGGCCTGTACTACATCAACAAGATCTCCTCCACGCTGTACCAGGCAACAGCTCCAGTCCTCGCCCCGGCCAAGGTCACGGGGAAGGGCAAAAAGAGAAACTGACCCTGCGTGTCCAATAAAGTTGATTCTTTGTAGTTCTGTGAGCCGTGATCCACCGCGAGCCTCTCGTGCCATCCCCGCACACGCGGGCTGCCGTGGCAGGCCGATACCCGTGCTCTCCAGCCATGGGGGTGGCGGGGCTTCTTCCTCTAAGGTTCCTTTTTAGCGGGTGTTTATCGAGCACCGTCCGCGCCAAACGCTTTGCGAGGCGCTGGAGCGGCGCGTGCTCGTGCGAAAGTCTCCTCGTGGAAGTGAAGTGCACGAGTGACCCGCTGTGTTGACCTGTCGGGAGAGGGGTCGGGGTTTGAGCGCAGGAAGCCTTCCTGGCCCGTCAGGACGGGACTAGATCTTGGAACGGGAACGAGGGAAGGAAAGGCCCCTCGCCCCTGCGACACCTCTGGGGGCTTCGTTACTCTGACTACCCACCCTGAGCAAACAGGGCCCCTGCCCCTCCTCCAAGTCCTCAGAAGGGAATTCTCTACCGATGTTGTCCTCCCGGCCCCGTCTGTGAAATGCCAGTGTGGACGTTTGTCCGTGTTTGGAGACTCCTGAGGTTGATCACCGCCCATCCTCTTTGTCCCGGTGCCTTCATTTCTCTCCTGTCTTGCAGCCGAGGTAGGAACGTGCTGTGCTTTAGCAAAGTATACAAAATGGTAGGGACAAGGCCATCGACCTCGGAGCCAACCTTGATGGAAATGAAGATGTGGTTGGGCGACTGGGTGGCTCAGTCAGGCGTCTGACTCTCGGTTCCGGCTCAGGTCATGATCTCGTGGTTCATGAGTTGGAGCCCCGCACGGGGCTCTGTGCTGACAGCGTGGAGCCTGCTTGGGATCTTCTGTCTCCTTTCTCTGCCCCTCACCCGCCCACTTTCTATCTCTAGCTCTCAAAAATGAATAAATATCCGTTAAAAAAAAAGTGAAGGGGGGCGCCTGGGTGGCGCAGTCGGTTAAGCGTCCGACTTCAGCCAGGTCACGATCTCGCGGTCCGTGAGTTCGAGCCCCGCGTCGGGCTCTGGGCTGACCGCTCAGAGCCTGGAGCCTGTTTCAGATTCTGTGTCTCCCTCTCTCTCTGCCCCTCACCCGTTCATGCTCTGTCTCTCTCTGTCCCAAAAATAAATAAACGTTGAAAGAAAAA